ACTGTTTAATGAGAAACTATTTGTTCTGTAAACCTTCATCTAAAGTACAATAAAAAAAATTTAAAAAAGAAATGCTCAGACTGTCATGTTTAAATATTTGCTCCATGGAAAAATTACAAAATACATACTAAACAAAGTATGATCTATCCATCGAGTCTTGCCTAATGATTTTGAAAGGAGGAAGGAAAGAGAAAAACTCATTTTTCCTCTTGGTTTATTGTGAACACCTACACACTCAATGGAACAACCTTTGGTATGCCAATTTTAGGTGGCACGAGGGAAACCTGTCATAATCCTTATGAAACGTGTTCAAAATGGAAACAGAAAAAAAAAAAAGAACTAAGATTCTCTACTCCTCGAAGTAAACAAATATCAACTTACTTCCATCTGGAAGACGAGCCAGCACAATCCCACTGCCTCCTCTAGCAGTTACCAGAAATCCGGCTTTTATCACAGACAAAATGGCAAGACCTTTAGCTTTAGCAATTACGTGGGCTGCAAACATTAAAAAACAATAGGTAGGAAAGCATTCTTAATAAATTATGACCGAAGAGACAAGCAAGCGTTAAACAGTACATGCAGACATTTGCTTAACAAGATTCCATGGTTCTAATTAAGAATCTTAATGGCACATATGAGCCATGAATAAAACTTAGTTACATAACAGATGGGCATGAAACTTCTCTACTCCTACCTCTTTTTTTTTAATGTTGTTATTTTTGCAATGCTAACTGTAACATCACAAACGCTCACAACTCCTGCAATTCTCAATAAATGAGATATTTGAATGAGATTTTATTGTTATCTAGTAGCAAGGCAAATACAGTCATGGGCTGCATAACGTCTGTTTGGGCGACATCCGACTGCACATACGTCCGTGGTACCAGGATTACGAACATCCGACTTGCATACAACCCATAGGTATGAACCAACCCCAGTAAAGACTATTATATTAAAAATTCAAAGTACATACAATGGCTTGTAATAACAAATGGGCACTCTTTCATGACATGCATCCAAACATTATTATTACTGTATAATACGTTAAAGATGTTTTAGTGTCTCTAGAAGTGTTTCTCTAATGCTTTTTATACATTGAAAGGTACACCCTATCTTATATACTAAGACAAATATTTGACAAACTGATGTTAGATAAGAACCGTTCTTAACTGTTCCGACTTATGTACAAATTCGGCTTCAACACAGACTTAGGAACGGACCTCCTCCATAATTCGAGGACTGCCTGTATATAACATGGTGTTTGCATAACATCCAAATCACATAATCTCCTATTTCACAGAATATATCGTGGCCGTTAAATGACACATGACTGTATTTTAGAGATTTCAATTAATTTAGGAAATAATTCACAATTTAAAAAATAAAAACTACTATTTTCAAAGAAATTATGATCTATACACTGTTAGGGAAAAATTCACAAAATGATCAAAAATCTTTATGGGGCAAAACTTTAGTTTTAAAGCCACATATCTAAGTTCACCTTTTATTAACATGAAAATCCAGACTCAAAACCAGAAAAATTAAGTGATTTTGCCACTTTAAAAAGTTTTTTAAGTCTATAAAATAATCTGCTCATTACTTAAACCTCCATACTTTACGGCTTAACTACTTGTTGTTGTGTGCCCTGGAGTCATTTCCAACTCACAGCAACCCGAACTTAGCTACCCAGTGCACTAAAAATAAAATTCAATTTAAAAAAATATTAGTTTATTCACATTTCAGGGAAGTACATTACATAAAATGAGGGTTATTAATCTATGTACCCACTAAATGCAGTGCCTCACTATTCTGTGAATTTACTAACACAAGAGTACATCTTTCAAACTAACAAGGGAAGCTTGAAAATCGGAAATTATTCTTGGATACCAATAATACTTACGAGGTAGTATAATTTATCATCACTGTAGTCAAATATTCTGTCAAGGAAGTGAAACCAGATTGTACACACCAGTACTCAAAAAAAGTTTTGCAGCTGTACCTAGAAACACACTAAATTTCTAATATAATTATATACACTATTTCAAAATTTAAATTAATAACAGACTCTTAAAAACTAATTCACCCAAGAACATGAAGAATTTAACATCCAAAACACTGTAGAGCTGTTCTTAATTAAGCAAGATACAGAAAATAAGATTAGCATCCTAGACGGTTGTCTATGAAGTTTGTCTTATTTTTGTATCTGAAAAGGTTATAATGTAGTAGGATTGAAAGCTATATAATAAATGTATTTCAAATATCAACTATGTTTTTATAGATTATCCATCCAAATTCAGGGACACAGAAATACCAATAATTGCTAAATGATTTGCAAGTTGGCTTTTCATTTACAGCACAAAATGCACTATTTGCAGATACACCTTCTAAATTAAGTTTCACTTGTATCTCATAGCTCTTAACATCAGAGGAGAATGAACACATACCATTGAGAAGGTCTAGAACGTCTAGGCATTTTGTTTAAATATTTTCTGTAGACTTTATCGTCTACTATTTAACATATCTGGAGCCCTGGCGGCGCAGTGGTTAAGAGCTTGACTGCTAACTAAAAGGTCAGCAGTTCAAATCCACCAGCCACTCCTTTGAAACCCTACGGGGCAGTTCTACTCTGTACTATAGGATCGCTATGAGTCAGAATCAACTCAATGGCAATGGGTTTGGTTTTGATTTACAGGTATATGACATATCACCCTTGTTTTAATATAATACCCTCTCTCCTACACACACACACACACACACACACACACACACATCCTACAGACCCTTGGGGTAAGTTTATACTTAGGCTAATCTGTAAACCAATTTTTATTCTCTGAGCCACATCCACTGACAATAAGGAGGGTGGCCTTTATATGGAGGCAGGAGAAAGGCAAGATGACATTTTGCTGTACATAAACCATGAGTAAAAATCCACACTCAGATTTTTTTCATGTTAGTAAATACAGGTTACCCATAAATTAAGCTGGCCTGACATTTTTTGCAAAGGTTGGTAAGTATCAAGAAATCTCTTCTATCATCCTGCTTTGCAACATAGCTACTGAAAATCCAGTTTTTCTAGCTGAATTCTCTTTAAGCTCCAAAGCCGTGCATACAAAGAAAATTGCACGTTCTGACTCATTAGGTCTGAGATGAGCCTGAGGTTCTGCATTTCTAACAAGCTCCTACATGATCCTGAGTTGCCAGCCAGAGTTTGCACTGTTTACTCAAGATGTGGAGTGGGTAAGCCAAAATAACAATAATTGATATTATAGTTAATATTATTATTATAACAACTAAAATATTTAAAAAATTAAAGCTGTGTGGTTAAATAGCTTCAGATCACGCACTGTGATCAGGGGAGAAATTTATTCTGCAGCAATGTCCAAATGGACTTGTTTATCAATTGTCTTTACATGTTGTAAGTATTCTATGAAACACCCTTTGGAAATTACCGGTAGTGATAATAAAACAGGTAAAAATCATTTGCCATCAAGTTGATTCCAACTTACATCAACCCCACGCGTATCAGAGTAGAACCGCCCTCCGTAGGGTTTTCATGGCTGATTTTTTCAGCAGTAGATCACCAGGTCTTTCTTCCAAGGTACCTCTGGGTGGTCTTAAACCATCAACCTTTTCAGTTAGCAGCAGAGCACATTAAGACTTTGCACCACCTAGGGACTCCAATAAACAGGTAGTGGTTCCCAAACTATTGACTAATGTCTTCTTAAACCACTATAAAAATGTAAATGTCTTACCAGGAAAGAGAAAACACCAAATTAAATTGATTAGACTCCAAAAATAAATCGGACTCATTGCCGCTGAGACAAATCTGACTCATGGTGATCCAGTGTGTTACAGAGTAAAACTGCTCTGTAGGGTTTTCTTGACTGTGCTCTTTATGGAAGCAGATCAGCAGGCCTTTCTTCCTCGAAGGCGATGGGTGGGTTTGAACCACCAACCTTTACCATCTGCGCCTCCTAGGGACCTATTTAGCTAGACAGTAATCTTACAAAGTTCTCAGGAAATGAAGAAAAGGACAGGTAAGCTTTAAGGAAAGTTAAAGTGGAGAAGAAAAATATGGTGGTGAGTGTACTGGGCACCTTACGGCTACCATTAAGGACTGTTCTGATCAGGGCCACAGAACCGTGGGTTTACACAAACGGTGCACACGTTCTACGTTTGTTTGCCAACTGCACCCTCCCCCAGGAGGTACTTCTGTAGTGCCGCCATGCCAATTTTTTTTCACATGTTGCTGTAAAAAAAATTAGCATACTGTGCTTATGAAAAAACCTCGTAGTGGTGGGGAGGGCACCATTGGCAAACAAACGGAGCAGGCAAGCGTTATTTGCATAAAAATAAGGTAGATGGTTCCTGATAGGAGGGGAAAAATATGGAATAGAAGTAAAATTCTTAAAAAATCCTGAATTACTGGACCGGTTGAGACTAGAAGACTTCCCAAGGCTATTGCCCTGAGATACTCCATAAATCTTGAACTGAAACTAACCCCCTGGGGGGCATCTTTTAGCTGAATAACAGATTGGCTCATAAAATAAAGAATATTACCAGTGAGCACTGAGCACCTTTAAAAAAGTCATCTGTATAAGACCAAACGGTCAACAATTACTCTAAAGCAAAGATGAAAGGGTAAGGGGTCAGGGAATGGATTACTGGAAGTGAAACATCCAGAAGGAAATTAATGAGAACGTTAAAACATTGTGAAACATGTAACCAATGTGTCTCAACAAATGTGTAGTAATTGTGAAATGGGGACCTAACTTGCTGTGTAAACTTTCAATGAAAATACAATAAAGTATTATTTAAAAAAAAGAGCACTGGACACCTTGAGAGGAGGTGGTCAAGGGAAAAAGGTTATATATGATGGAAAGACAGAAGAGGAAGGAAAAATGGCTTAAAAGAAATGCCCATGAGTTGGTTTGCTCTGGTCTACAGCTGGCCCTATTGAGACCATCTTGAAAGCACACGTGGATGACCTTCAAAGCATTGCTGGATCAGCTATGAGAAAAAAGGTGGGCTAAGGACTTGCTGGAAACCCTGGTGGTGCAGTGGTTAACAGTTATGGCTGCTAACCAAAAGGTTGGCAGTTCAAATCCACCAGCCACTCCTTGGAAACTCTGTGGGGCAGTTGTACTCTATGAGTCCGAATCAACTCAAAGGCAATGGGTTAAGGACTTGCTGGTATCAGTGGGGCTGTCTGCCTGAAGTGAAATGTGAAGGAATGTAGAAAGTAATGTAGAAAACAAAACAAATTTAGGAATGAACAAGATGTATTTTATTTACCCACCAGGAATGATCTTATCAGGTCCATTTCTGGAAGTTATTTCTGTGAATTCTCTTAATATTTTAGCAGCCTTTTTTGCTTCCGATTTCAGATTGGAAGGTATAGGGTTATTCACTGAAAGATTTTTAAAAAAAAAAGCATTAAATGAAGAAATTTACTAAATACAAGTTAAAAATTTGTTGTAATTTCATTAAGAATTAACAAATTGTATCCTACCACACAGAAGAAATGAATTGGAAACCCCCGATTATTACCCATCTCATCTCCATTTTCTTGACTAATAAACCAAATCCACTGCGAGATTGAGACACCTGACCTGTGGCCTTGGAGTCAACTGTGACTCATGGTGACTCCATGGCTTAGTAGAATTCTTCCACAAGGTTTTCACGGCTGTGACCTTTCAGAGGCACATCTCCAGGCTATCTTCCAAGGCGCCTCTGGGTGGGTTTGAACCACCAACCTTTTGGTTAGTGGTTGAGCACTAAACCATTCACGCCAACCAGGGACACTCTAAACTCTCAAAATCCCACAAATCATAAGGAATCATGGGATCCTTAAAGATCTGAAACAAAATCTGCTCCAACCTCCTCCTTGTAATTCTTAAATCACCTTTATACTAATTTAAAATAAATAAATTTAAAAATTAACACTAGATGTTTTTTACAACTGTTTAGAATAGACAACATAAAATTTAGTATATTTGGTTGTTTTTGGCAAAAGGCTTTCAACTGGCTGCCTGTATGTTGTTGGTTGCCACTGAGTCCATTTTGACTCATGGGGACCCCATGTGTGCAGAGAACAGCGGCTCCATAAGGTTTTCAAGGCTGTGACCTTTCAGAAGCAGATAGCCAACCTATCTTCTGAGGTGCCTCTGGGTGGGTATGAACCACCAACCTTTTGGCTAAGAGTCTCGATCTGCTAGTAGTAATGATCTGCGCCACCCAGGGACTGTGTGCATAGTCTTTCCTTATTGGTAAAATTATCGAAGACTCAGGAATTGGGGTCATTACTCCAAGTAATACAAGCTTGCATTTGTATAGCATTTTATACTTTCTGTGTTGCTTGGATATTCATAAATTCACATAGGCATTCATTTGTTCATAAGAATTCTGACAATCTTTACAGCTTTGAAGTATATGAGTGAAGACGGCACCATTCCACTGTCCCAGCATAAGGAATCACAGATATTCCTAATAAAACAATATGATGCATTTGGTCCTTGGCATGTTTGAAATATGTAATTTATTTTAAAACTAGAAACTCAATCAGGGCCACACTGGAATTCTCTTTTGTTTTTTTTTTTAAAAATGAATCAGCATCAGTTCTTTGTGGCTGTATTGGCTTTCTAGGGCTGCCATCACTAATTATCATAAGCTGGGTGGCTCCAAACAACAGAAATTCATTTTCTCCCAGTTCTGGACTCTAAAAATCAGAAATCAAGTTGTTTGCAGGGCCATGCTCTCGCTAAAGGTCTAAGGGAGACTCCTGCCTTGCCTGTTCCTAGCTTGCGGTGGTTGTTGGCAATCCTTGGTGGCCTTGGCTTGTGGACACACAACTCCAGTCTCTGCTTCCCTCCTCCCATGGCGTTCTCCCTGGGTCCAACTTTCCCTCTTCTTATAAGGACACCAGTCATGTTGGATTTAGGGCCCACCTCATCTTAACTTGATTACATCTGCAAAGATCCTATCTCCTAATAAGGTCACATTCACAGTTTCCGGGGGGACATTATTAAACCCAGGGGCTAAACACAGGAGTCTTACCAAGACTCAAGCCATCATCTATCAATTAGAAAATTAAATGCTCCTTACCACACATAATCAATGGTATTAGTTTGGGTACGGGGTCATCTTTTCATAATATTTTCTGCAAGGTTAATGAAATACATATACTTGTATACGCACGTGTATATATACACGTATTTGTGTATGTATACGTGTGTGTGTGTATTCCTTTACCCCCTTTTAAAACAAATGGTATCATACAACTCGCATATTTTGGTGCTTCGCGTTTGCTTTAGAATAGTTAAAATGATGGATCTCAGTATAGGTTTTTTAAATCAACTTTAGGAGATATAATTTACAAAACAAAATACATCTTTTTAATAGGCATAGCTCAGTAAGTTTTGGCAAATGTATTGACCTATGTAACCACCACATTTCTATCATCCCAAATAGTTTTTTCTATGCCCCTTTACATACAGTCAATTCAACAACCTACCTCCAACCCCAGCCTCAGGATAGTACTGATTTGATTTCTGTCACTATATATTAGTTTTGCCTGTTATAGAATTTCATATAGATAGAATTATACAGTGTGTATTTTTTTCTGTCTGGTTTCTTTTGCTCACCATAAATTATTAAGGTTTGTTCATGTTGTTCCGTGTTTCAGAAGTTAACTCCTTTTTCCTGTCAAGCAGTGTTCCAATGTACGGAAACACCACGATTTGTTCACGTATTCACTTGTTGATAGACAACTGGGTTGTTTCCAGTTTTGGGCCATTCCAAATAAAACTGCTATAAGTATTCATGCACAACAAGTCTTTTGTGGACAAATGATTTTATTTCTCCTGGGTTAATATCTAGGCCTGTAATTGCTAGTCCATATTAGAGTAAATGTTTAACTATATAAGAAGCTGCCGAAGAATTCTGTAAAGCGATTGTACCATCTCATGTTTCCCCCATAAAAATGAGCATCCCAGTTCTTCCACATACTCCCTAACACTTGGTATAGCCAGTCTTTTTAATTTTAGTTGCTTTGGTGGGTGTACAGTGATATCACATTGTGTATTCAATTTTCATGTTACCATTTGATTAAGGATGCTGAGCATTTTTTATATGCTTACTGGCTGCTTCTATTTCTTTTTGTGGTGTTTGTTCACATCTTTTGCCCATTGTAAAAACTGGATTGTTTGTCTTTTATTTTTTAGTTTTAAAAGGTCCTTACATATTATGGATGTAAGTCCTTCAACAAATACATGCAATCTTAGTCTTTTTTCTAGTCTGTGGTTTGTCTTTTCATTTCCTTAATGGTGTCTGTTGAAAATTTTTTAAAAATAATCATTATATTAAATATTCAATCCATTTCAAACTTACAGTAGCATAGGGTATTAAAAAAAAAAAAAAACCTCAATGCTGTCAAGTTGATTCCAACTCATAGTAACCCTACAGGACAGAGTAGAACTGCCTCGTAGGGTTTCCAAGGAGTTGCTGGTGGATTCAAACTGCCGATCTTTTGGTTAGCAGCCGAGCTCTTAACCACTGTGCCACCAGGGTTCCCAGGATATGAGGTAGGAACCTAGCCTAATATTTCCAGAAGACACAACACAATGTATTGAATAAACTATCATTCTGGCACTTCATTAAAAATGCCACTTTTATGACAAAAGCACAAAAAATGCATTTATTTAAAAATATAATGTGACAGAAATGACATGGTAAGTGAATAAATTATGCTAAGTCAACTGGTCATCCAAATGAAAATAAAATGAAATTTGATTGCAATATCACATCATACACACAAAAAAATTTCAATTTTATTGAAGGTCTACATATTCAAAGCAAAATTTAAAACTTTTAGAATACAAGTAATAGTGAATATCTTTATGATTTAGTGTATGGAAGAATTCCATAAGCAATCCACAATAATAAAGGGAACTACAGATATATATCAACTTCATGAATATCAAAAAGATATATTAACATACTTTTAAAAAGTAAAAATATAAGCCACAGACTGGAATATATCTGCCATACATATAAATGACATAGATTTAGGATCCAGAATATGTAAAGACCTTCTAAAAATCAATAAAATGATAAATAGCACTAGAGGAAACTGGACAAAACATATAACTAGTTAATTCACAGAAGAGGAAACCTCGATAGCCAATAAATACATAAAAAGACGGTCAAATTGACTAGGAATCAGGGAAATTCGAAGTAAGATCATAATGAATTATCATTGCTAATCCTTCAGATTAGCAAAAATTTAAAAAATCTGCCAACAAATGTAGGCCAGATTATGGCACAAAGAGAATTCTCACACACTGTTGGTGGGAGTGTAAATTGGTACAACTGCTTTAGAGAACTCTTTGGCTGTGTCCAATACAGGCAAAGATGTGCCGTGCTCATGATCTGGTAATTCTACCCCTATGAATACATCTTTGGGAAACTTTGTCAGGTGTAGGCACTAAGATGTGTATAAGAATGTTCACTGAGCCAATATTTTTAATAGCAAAATAATAATAAATACATTTGAAAAATGAATTCCTCAAAGAGGATGGACAAACATGGTTTGGTATAGTATTACATTTGAATTTTATCCAGCACTTCAAATAAAGCAGATCTTCGTGCATTAACACAGAAAAATATAAACAATATTGAGGGGAAAACAAGGTGCATAAAGATACATTAAAAAAAAAAACCCAAACCCATTGCCATTGAGTCAATTCTGACTCATAGCAATCCTATAGGACAGAGTAGAACTGCCCCACAGGGTTTCCAAGGAGCAGCTGGTGGATTCTAACTGCTGACCTTTTGGTTACCAGCCAATCTCTTAACCACTATGCATGATACATTTATGTAAATGTTTTAAAACATGCACAAAAAGAAATATATACTACTTACAAAAACATATATATGTAATAAAAGTATAATGACATTCTGACAGAGCTGGAGAAGGATGTAGAACAAAATTCTAACCACAAAAAAAAGACCAGATTTACTGGCCTAAAGGAGACTGGAGAAACCCCGGGAGTATGGCCCCCAGACACCCTTTTAGCTCAGTGGTGGAGTCACTTCCGAGGTTCACTGTTCAGCCGGGAAGTGGACAGCCCCATAAAACCAAATGGAACTAATGAGGCACAGCAGTCCAGGGACAAGGGACAGAAGGCAGAAGGAGACAGGAAAGCTGGTGATAGGGAACCCGAGGTTGAGTAAGGATAGTGTTGATGTGTTGTGAGGTTGTCAACCATTGTCATAGGGCAACATGTGTACCAACTGTTAAATGAGAAACTATTTTGCTCTGTAAGCCTTCATCTAAACTGAGAATAGCAGCACAATTGGAGAGCAAAGTTGATGTCACTGAACTGTGCATGCAGAAATTTTTGAAATGGTGTATCTTTGGCTATGTATATTTTCACCAAAAAAAAAAAAAAGGTCGAGTAGGGAGAGGGTTGACATGTTGTGGGGTTGTTAACCAATGTCATAAAACAATATGTGTACTACTATTTCATGAGAAACTATTTGTTCTGTAAGCCTTCACCTGAAGTACAATAAAAAAAAAAAGTATAATGACATTGTTAGAAATCATAAACACTAAATTCAAGTTAATGCTTCCTTTGATTTGTTAGAGGTGGGAGAAGGTTGGTTCTGGGAAAAGGGACAGAATCAGGAGGGTAATATAGGGACTTGAACAAAATTGTACTTTTTTTTTTCCTTTAGGCTGGGTTGTAGGTCATAGATGTATATTATGTTACTCTCTACAGCCTCTTAAGTATGCCTGAAATATTTCGTAACAAAAACTGTTCAGTACAAACTGAAATTGTAAATTAAAATACTTAAGATATTAGTGGGAACTTATGACTCAGCTCTAAAATTCTACATTATGGGAAATTACTCCATAAATTATCTTTCATTTCAAACCTGAGCTCTTAGGGCGAACAACAGGACTTACATGAAGATGTGCGGAAAAGTAAAAAATATATTCTTATATTTTACACAGACGTATAAACACACCCCTCCCACGCCCACATACACACAAAAAGACACAGGACAGGTATTTGTTGAGGCGCTGTACACGAAATAACTATTTGTTTCAAGCATTTGCATAACACTGATAACTCTGGAATTGAAATTTTTAAGACCTAATACAAAGTTACTCCTTATCTTCTCAATCATTGACTTGTTTAAACTCAAACTATCATATCTGATGATTGTATTGAAATACTGAAAGCCTGATAATATTTTTGTATTGCTATTTTTACTTGCAATGGTGAATATGAAACAGACAAGAACACAGAAAAATTCTCAGAGGCAGGATTCTTAAATATATATACTCAAAATGATGTTAATTTACTAGCAGCCTTTAAAATATTCCTATTAGTAATGCTTTGATTATGCAGTTTGGATTTATAGGGTCTTACAAAAATACGAATTAGGGAAATTTCAAGTGAACATATTTACATAGACATTTGGGCATTTAAAATACATGTTATGGGGGTAGCTTTTAGTCATGATTTGAGGTAACATACTAGTGACATACAATTGTTTATCTGGTATTCCACAAGTGATAAAAAAAAATACCTATGTGTGTGTGTGTGTGTGTGTGTGTGTGTGTGTGTGTGTGTGTATAGTAGGCAAAAAGATGATACTTTACAACAAAGTATTTATACAGTTGATAGATTTTGAAAACTCTAATTTGTGAATAAATACTCAGATGGGACCCAGCTCCGTTTCCATTTTGATTGCTAAAAAGGAGAGGCGGTATTGAGCTGTATGAGTCAGCAGGGCAAATGAGAATATAACAAGAAAATTGATTGACATTAATTTGTACATTTATCAGGTACATTGACCATCTGTAATTTGCATTATAACTAGATCAGGTATTTGTTGTCTGAATTTTAGTTATCTTGATAATAGAATTTTAGTATCTCTGATGATATCAACTTTATTTTCACAGAATGACTGAATGAGTTATGTACAGTGGGTCTGTTTTATTACTTGTGTGGCACAGGTAGCTGGCTGTCCATCAACTTACATGTGTGCTTCCTGTGTTATTGTGTGGAGCTGTCCCTGGGAGGCAGCTGCCCAGTCAGAGATGACATTTCCTATCCCTTCCTCCACAGTTTTCTATCCAGGTGTGGC